CGCCTTACTCAACTTCAACGACCTCTACCCTTGACCACGTCTAGGTACCCCAAACACCTATACGCCTTTCCACGCACCCATAAAATGGCACTTTTCCCAATTCAGTACCAGATTTGTTTCTTCACAACGGGCCAACACCTTGCTTAAATTCTTCAAGCAATCATCATAAGAAGACCCAAAGACTGAAAAATCATCCATAAACACTTCCACAAAATTTTCCACCATATGGGTGAAAATAGCCATCATGCATCTCTGGAAAGTGGCTGGTGCATTACAAAGACCAAACACCATTCACTTGAAGGCAAAAGTGCCATAAGGACAAGTAAAAGTGGTCTTCTCCTGATCCTCTGGGCATATGACAATCTGGTTGTATCCCGTATAACCATCAAGGAAGCAATAGTATTCATGCCCGGCTAATCTGTGCAACATTTGGTCAATGAATAGAAGTGGGAAGTGGTCTTTGCGGGTTGCTTTGTTGAGCCATCTATAATCAATACAGACTCTCCACCCCGTCATAGTGTGAGTAGGAATTAGCTCATTTTTCTCATTCTCAATCACAGTCATCCCCCCTTTTTGGGCACACATTGAACTGGGCTTACCCAGTTGCTGTCAGAAATAGGAAAAATGATACCTGCATCGAGCAACTTGATTACTTCCTTTTTCACAACCTCTTTCATAATGGGATTTGACCTCCTCTACTGCTTCACACTAGGGCGGTGTTCATCCTCCAAGAGGATTTTATGCATGCAAACCGATGGACTAATTCCCTTGATGTCAGCAATAGTCCACCCAATAGCCTTTTTATGCTCGCGGAGTACTCTGAGAAATTTTTCTTCTTGAGTGTTAGTAAGCTGGAAGAGATAATCACGAGCAATGTCTCAGAGTTCCCCAAATAAGCGTAGCACAGATGCGCTGGAAGGGGCTTAAGTTCTAGCTTCGGAGCTTCTTCAATGGATTACTTAGGAGGGCTCAGAGTGACAGGACTGTCCAACTCCTCAAATTTTCCAAACCCATGGACATAACTGCAGGACATATCCAGTACTTGCTCAATTTCTCCCATCATTTCATCTTCACTATCTTCTTCATCCCCAATCAACACTTGTTCAACAGGATCTACAGGGCTCATATAGGGCACTAATGATGTGGCATAACTTTCCACTACAGAGATCATAGATAGCTCTTCATAGTGGGCTGGCAACCTGAGTGCTTTATAAACATTGAATACCTCAACTCGATCACCTATTCTCATCGTCATCTTCCCTTCGCAAACATCAATAATAGCTTGGCCCGTGGCTAAGAATGGACGCCCTAAAATAAATAGGACTTCCTAATCAAGCTCGTAGTCTAGGATAATGAAATCAACAGGGAATATGAAAGACCCCACTTGAACTAGCACATCTTTAGTCACTCCTTCAGGATGAGAAAGGGAGCGATCAGCCAACTGTAAGATTACCGTTGTTGGGCGCGGCTCACCCAACCCCAATACTCTGAACACAGATAGCGGCATCAAATTGACGCTTGCTCCAAGATCACATAAAGATCGCCTAACTGCATGTTTACCAATCGAGATTTGGATAGTGAAACTACCTGGATCCTTCACTTTCTAAGGTAACTTGCTTTGAATTCTTGAGCTACACTCCTCAGTGAGTGCCACGGTTTCGAACTCGGTCATCCTCCTTTTATTTGCCACTATGTCCTTGATGTACTTTGCATATTTGGGTACTTCTTGTAATATGTCAACCAATGGAATATTAATCCGCACCTGCTTTAAAATATCAAGAAACTTTTTATACGCGGCGATATCCTTGACTTTGTGCAATCTTTGAGGGAACGGTGGTGGTGGCCTTGCAACCAATGGTGGGAGTTGCTCAGCCACCGCCTCTTCAACTAGCTTCTCTGACTCCTTAGATTTTTCGGATGTTGATTCTATAGTGGCTGGCTTCTCATTAAAAGTCATATGTTTCCTCTTTTTCGACTGAACTTCTTCCAATTGTCTCCCATTCCTCAACGACACGACATTAAGGGATGCCTTAGGATTAGCTTCAGTGTCACTTGGAAGAGCTCCAGCTGGTCTAGTGTTTTGAGCACTGGTAAGCTGTCCCATTTGGCGCTCCAAATCTCTGAAATCGGTCTTGAGCTGTTGATTGTCAAGCAACAACTTCTTCAACAAATCATTCGTACTCTCTTCTACCTGTTGAGGTGGCTTCTGAGGTTGATTGAAATTTCCTTGGGGTATATAATGAGTCTGATTCGGCTGATTTCCACCCCATGAGAAGTTGGGATGATTATTCCAATTTGGGTTGTAAATGTTCCCATATTGTGTGTTCTGATTCATTGGACCCCTGCTCTGTTGCCCCACATAGTATATAGATTCAGGATTCGTGGGGCACATGTTACTCATATGATTGTCTCCACATAGTTCGCTACAAAGAGACATCTGTTGTACACGATGCATCTGTTGTGTTTGTTGCATTGTCATTCTATTCACCTGATTTACCAATTTTGCTATATCAGCTCTCATGGCTGAGAAGTCATCAAGCTCAATCAACCTGGCTGCTATTTGTTTAATTTCCTTTCGTGAATCCCCATCTCTTTGCCAGTTATGATTAGTAGCAGTGAAGTTATTTAGCAAGAGTTGGATTTCACTATACGATTTCGCCATGCAACTAACCCCACAAGCTGAATCAAGATTCATCTTTGAGGCCTCATCTAGCCCGTCAACAAAAGTGTGTCCCAATACCTCATCAGTCTGACAATGGTACGGGCAATCTCTGAGTAGCTTCTTGTATCTTTCCAAGCTTGACGAAGTGTCTCGCCATCCCGTTGTCGAACCCAAGAATCTGACTCCTCAATGACTTTGTCTTCTTAGTGGGAAAAACTTGATTAAGAATTTCCTTGCTAGATCATCCCAAGTGTGGATTGAGTTTGTGGGCTCTTTCTACAACCATTCCTTAGCTTCCCTCAATAGTGAAAAGGGAAAAAGTGTCAGCCTGACATAGTCCATGGAAACGTTCAGATAATTGTAGGTATCCGTAATTTCCAAGAAATTCTAAATGTGCCTCTGCGGATCTTCATGAGATAGACCCATATATTGCCCTGTGGACTGAATCAGCTGTACCATGTACTTTTTGAGTTCAAAATGCCCTGTGATCTCAGGCTTCACAATAGCCTGAGTCATATTAGCAAGATTGGGCCTTGCAGCTTCTATCACCGCACGCTCTGCATTACCTTCCATCTCTATTGGCTGTGGTTGAACTACGATGTCCAACTCTCTTTCTATTCTAGTTCTAGCTTCGACTTCCCTCCTCACTCTGTGAAGTGTCCGCTCAATTTCAGGATCAAGAGGAAGGAGATTTTTTGCGCTTCTACTCCTCCGCATTCAAGAGAAGAGCCTATGTTAACACAAACAAGGTAAACTAAAAATTAAAACTTGAACAAACAACTAATAAAAGCTTAAGTCAGTCAAGTAGCTAATTTCTAAGTCCCCGGCAACGGTGCCGAAAACTTGTTGCTCCCAAACGCACACGCAAATATACGTGGTCGTACAAGTAATAAAATGATAAGTCGAGTGTCAAACCCACAGAGACTTATATCAACTACCCATTAACTCACAAATATTGTTATTCAGTCAAGCTAAATTCTAGTTCAAGAATGTGATTATACTAAACTACAATTCTAAGTAATAACTAAATTATCAAGCAGTAAAATGATTGTTACGTATTCAATAGAGACAAATATTTCAGGGTTGTGATCGATTCACCAATTCGATTGTGTTCTAGTTAACTCTCCCTCTCATACAATTCACTCATGCTTGTAATTAATCAATAATTGCTCTCATAGACTTCTCTCGGAGTACTACTCAACAACAACAACAACAGCTACCTAGTAAAATCCCACATAGTGAGGTCTAGGGAGGGTAATGTGTACGCAGACCTTACCCCTGCCCCGATAGGGGCAGAGAGGCTATTTCCGATAGACCCTCGACTTAGGAAGACGAAAATAAAGTAAGAAAAAGCAAAAGGAGAGAATTCATTAGTAACTCCAGTAGAAATCGTAATAGTAACAGAAACATAAAAACCGAAAGATGAATGACATGCAATAACAGTAACCATAATCTAAGGCCCGGGGCTAAGACAAACAACAAGAATAGTGTGGGTCCCACATAAACTGTAAGCCATCTAAGGCCAATCCTAATCCAACCCCGCCTCGCCCCCAGAATGAAGTAAGGAAAGCTTTACTCCCCCTATCCTACAACCCTAATGCTTGACCTCCAGGCCTTCCTATCAAGGGCCATGTCCTCGGAAATGAGCAGTCGCGCCATGTCCTGCCTGATCACCTCTCCCCAATTCTTCTTGGGTCTCCCTCTACCTCTCCTCGTACCCACCACGGCCAACCACTCACACCTCCTCACCGGTGCATCGGGCTTCTCCTCTGCACTTGACCGAACAATCTGAGCCTCGCCTCCCGCATCTTGTCATCCACAGGGGCGACGCCCACCTTCTTTCGAATATCTTCATTCCTAATCTTGTCTATCCTAGTGTGCCCGCACATCCACCTCAGTATCCGCATCTCTGCTATTTTTATCCTCTGGATATGGGAGTTCTTAACCGGCCAGCACTCTGCCCCATACAATATGGCCGGTCTAACTACAGCTCTATAAAACTTTCCTTTGAGCATCCCGAAGTACTACTCACCTATTCAAAATAGATTAACGCCTATATTCCTATGGAATTAATCTATTAAGAACGCATTAAGATTACGATATTTAATTAAGCACGGTGACTAAGTAGCCTAACCACAAATCCACTCCCAAGGGTTAAGATCATGCTCTCTTCAGTTCTTCTCTAATCTAAACACGGCTTTCCCAAGCATAGCATAAGTAGTAAACAGAACCTAACTGCTGGCCAGACAATTAAACAATTAATCAAAAAATTGAAGAAACAACCATATATTAGTAAATTTTAATCAAGTTTAAGTCAACGTTAAACAACAATATTCATGGCTAAATCACAACCCCAAAACGATGGGTTTTTAGCCACTCATGATATTGGCAAACAATTTCATAAGTTTGGATAATTGAAAATACTAAGAAAAGATGAAGAAATCTGAGATGTTCTTGCTCCCCGAATGTTTTTTGTGTGTATTCCCTCTCAAAAGTGGCGTGTCTCCCTCACAAATAAGTTTAGTCGTGCTTTTATACGTGTTGGGTAGGTCTAGGTCCGAAATAATCGTGTCCCTGGCGAATTTGGAGAACCTTCACGTCACTGGCGCCCTGGCTAGTGCCAGGCACCCTCCACGGCACTGTGAAATTTAACCTTCTGTCCAATGCCCATTTTTCCTGTTTTTGTCCGTTTTGGCTCTAATTTTGCACATATCTCCCCTAATTGCTCTCGGATCATTCCTACACATAAAAACACATCAAATTATATAAATCAATACATTTCACATCCTAAATCCACGAAACAAAAGTAAGATATGAGGCGATATACATACAAATATATATACTTTAAGCAAAACATCACAAGTGCTTTATTATAGGAACAAGATAAATGAGGCATCTTCAAGTAAGAAAGTGACTCCTATTCTTTGCTATGTCCCAAAGGCAACGAAGGTTGAAGATCCATCTTCTAAACTACAAGGTAATGTGATTGGAGGCTTGACCCTTCCTATCAAGTGAATTGATGCAATTAAGTCGTCCAAAAAGTTGCTTAAAGGTTTTGTCAAATCATCAAACCACAATTCGCTCCTAAATCTAGCACTTCATGCAAAGCGCACCGATGAGGGTTTTGACCCAAATGCCTACAAATTGTTAGAAAAAAAGGGATATGATCCCAATGAACCACCCAAATTAGGAAATCTTCCACCTGAAGCTTCAAACCCTACTCAAAAGATGATGATGGAGAAAGGGTACCCCCTAAAGCAATCACATGATGTTTTGGGTTACAAACAACCCGTGCCAATCCGTATCTCCATAAAAAGGGCAAATTGTAACTGCATTACTGCTAAAGAAAGTCTACAACATTTAATAAGAATCCTTCTGTGTTTGATCGACTTACAAAAACAAGGACCTCAGTCTTTGATAGGTTGGGACCATTGAAGAAAGAGCATGAGTGCCATGGAAGTAATAGAAAGATCGAAGCATCTATCTTTGCTAAAAAGCAGATTTCGACCATAGACTGCCTGACTCAGATTCCTTTAGAATAAGGCGAGAGACAAAACTTGTAGTTTCATTGGGAGAGGTCCTCAAAGCAAAGGCTCATACTATAGTCCATACTAAAGAATGTGAGGAAGACAAAGAAAGTGTAGGGTCATCGTATCATATCACCATTTATGATGAACAAAACGCTTCATCTTATATGGAAATCGAGGAAAAGTAGCTTGATATTCATGTATGTGATCACATATATTTCAATGATGGTGATCCTCAGAGGATGAAGACGCTAAATATCCACCACCTGAGCTTGAAGAAGGGTGAAAACAATGGTTGATGCACTAAAAGAAGTCAATATCAAAGATGTTGAATATCCAAGGCCCACATATGTAAGTGTCTCTCTAACTGGAGATGAAGAGAGCAAATGTATTGAGCTACTTAAGGGGTTCAAAGATGTATTTGCTTGGAGTTACAGAGAGCTTCCAGGTTTAGACCCCAAGGTGGCTGTTCATTATCTTACTATCAAACGAGGTGCTCGTCTTGTGAAGCAAGCACAATGTCGCTTCATACCTGAGCTGGTTTCCTTAATTGAAATCGAAGTTAACAAGCTTATTGAGGCTAGTTTTGTTCGCGAAGTGAAGTATCATACATGGATTTCAAGCATCGTCCCTGTAAGAAAGGAGAATGGCCAAATCCAAGTTTGTGTTGAATTTAGGGACTTAAATAACGCTTATCCTAAGGATGAATTTCCTCTTCTCATCCTGAAGATCATGATTGATGCCACAACTGGATATGAGGCGATGTCTTTCATGGATGGTTCATCTTGATATAATCAAATTAGCATGGCACCAAAAATGAAGAACTTGCCGCCTTTTGCACCCCTAAAGGTATATAATGCTACAAGGTATTGCCTTTTGGTTTGAAAAATACTGGTGCTACATATCTATGTGCCATGTAAAATATTTTTTACGATATGCTTCATAAAACATGGAGTTTTATGTTGACTACTTGGTGGTGAAGTCAAGGAAGAGAGATGATCACTTACAAGATTTGAGGATGGTATTTGAACGGTATTGGAGATACCAACTCAGAATGAATTCATTGAAGTGCACCTTTGGAGTTACTTCTGGAAAGTTAGTCGGTTTTATTGTTGGACATTGAGGTATTGAAATTGATCAAGCTAAAGTGGATGATACCTTGTAAATGCCCGTTCATGAATTAAAAACCTTGCATGCTAAGTTGGCAATATCTTAAAAGATTTATTTCGAATCTGGCTGGAAGATGCCAACCGTTTTGTCGCCTCATGAAGAAAGGGGTTACTTTTGAATGGGACCAAGCTTGTAGAGATGCTTTTGAAAGTATTAAGTCCAATCTGATGAAGCCTCCAGCACTAGCAGCCCCATACCTAGAAAACCATTAATATTATACATTTCAGCACAAGAAAAGGTAAGTAGGAGCACTTCTGGCTCAAGGAAACAATGAAGGCAAAGAAAATGCACTTTATTACTTGAGTAGGATGATGACGCCAAATAAGCTCAAGTATTCACCTATCAAGAAGTTATGTTTAGCACTTGTCTTCTCTGTTCAGAAGCTGAAGCATTACTTCCAAACTCACATTGTGTGACTCATCTCAGTAGCGAATCCTATCAAGTTTGTCATGTCTAAACCTATCCTAAGTGATTGATTAGCAAGGTGGCACCTTCAATTTTAATAATTTGAAATTGTGTATGTTCCTCAAAAGGCGGTAAAAGGACAAGTATTAGCAAACTTCCTAGCTGGCCATCTGATTCTAGATGATTGGGTGTTGACTGATAAATTACTTAAAGAAGATGTAATGGTCATCGAAATTCAACTTCCTTGGAAGATATATTTCGATTGCTATGTCCATCGTGAAGGAGATGGCGTTGTAATAGTTTTCATCACTTCTCAAGGAGAAGTTTTGTCGTATTCTTTCACTCTGACACAACATTGCTCCAATAATGTTGCTGAATATCAAGTGCTCCTCCCTGGGCTTCAAATGGTTGTGGATATTAAACAATTTCAACTACAAGTTTTTGGAGACTCCAAGTTAGTGATCAATTAGA